TACCATCCTGGAAAGAATGATTATGATATAAATAAAACATGTCTTTCACCCTAGATCATCTATTTTCACTTAATAGACAAGATGAATTCAATAAAAGCCTCTGGCCACCCAGTGGAAGCACAGATATCATGATCCAGCTCACTCTAGTCATATACAGAGTCAAGTACAACAATGTATTTCACAATCTAGACTCCTAGGTTTTGTCTATATAACATAGGAATGAATGTTTTAGATGAGTGATAGGGTATTAATGCTTGAATAATTGAGTACTAGAAATGGCAGGAAGAAGGGCAGAGGCTTATGATATTTTAGCATTCACTGGTCAACCTGTGTGGAGAGTTTATCTAGAAAAGTTAGAGATAAGGGTGAATAGACAAGTTAGACTTGGAGCAATTCAATTTAGTAAATGAGCATTGAGTTCTTATCAGGAACTGTCCTAGTTATGTATTGATGACAGTCAAATCAGATAAAGGTCTTGCTTGAGTTGCTAATCAAATAAGGAAGATTATAGGTTAGTGAAGAAGACAAGATGCTTTGGAATTAGCTTTGGGTTTGAGTCTCAACTCTAATTTTGTGAGCTTGGTGTGTTAGTCCATTTTCACACCCCTGATAAAGACATACAGAGACTGGGACATTTACAAAAGAAAGAGGTTTAATGGACTTACTGTTCCACCTGGCTGGGAAAGCCTTACAATCATGGTGGAAGGCAAGGAGGAGCAAGTCACATCTTAAATAGATGGTAGCAGGCAAAGAAAGAGCTTGTGCAGGGATACTCTCCTTTATAGAACCATCAGATCTCATGAGACTTATTCACTATCATGAGAACAGCATGGGAAAAATCTGCCCCCATAATTAAATTACCTCCTGCTGGGCCCCTCCTATAACATGTGAGAATTCAAGATGAGATTTTGGTGGCAACACAGCTAAACCAAATCATTCTACCCCTGGTCCCTTCCAAATCTCATGTCCTCATATACCAAAACCAATCATATCTTCCCAATAGTCCCTCAAAATCTAAACTCATTTCAGCATTAACTCAAAAGTCCACAGTACAAAATCTTATCTGAGACAAGGCAAGTCCTTTCTGCATATAAGCCTATAAAATCAAAAGCAAGTTAGTTACTTCCTAGGTAAAACAGAGGTACAGGCATTGGGCAAATATAGCCATTCCTAATGGGAAAAATCGTTCAGAACGAAGGGATTACAGACCCCATACAAGTCCAAAATCCAATGGGGCAGTCATATCTTAAAGCTCCAAAATGATCTCCTTTTACTCCATGTCTCACATCCAGGTCACCCTGATGCAAGAGGTGGGTTCCCATAGTTTGGGGCAGCTCTGCCCCTGTGGCTCCCTCCTGGCTGCTTTCACAGGGTGGCATTGAGTGTCTGCAGCTTTTCCAGGAATACGGTCCAAGCTGTCAATGGATCTACCATTCTGGGGTCTGGAGAATGGTGGCTTTCTTCTCACAGCTCCATTAGGCAGTGCCTCAGTAGAGACTCTGTGTGGGAGCTCTGACCTCACATTTTACTTCTGCACAGCCCTAGCAGAGGTTCTCCAAGAGAGCCCCACCCCTGCAGCAAACTTCTGCCTGGACATCCATGCATTTCCATACATCCTCTGAAATCTAGGTGGAGGTTCCCAAATGCCAATTCTTGACTTCTTTGCATGGGCAGGCTCAACACCATGTGGAAGCTGCTAAGGCTTCACCCGCTGAAGACAGGGACCAAGCTCTATGTTGGCCCCTTTCAGCCATGGCTGGAATGGCTGGAACACAGGGCACCAAGTCCCTAGGCTGTACACAGCATGGGGACCCTGGGCTCAGTCATGAAACCACTTCTTCCTTCTAGGCCTCTAGTCCTGTGATTGGAGGGGCTGCTGTGATGACCTCTGACATGCCCTGGAGACATTTTCCCCGTTGTCTTGGGGATTAACATTTGGCTCCTCATTACTTATGCAAATTTCTGCAGCCAGCTTGAATTTCTCCTCAGAAAATGGGATTTTCTTTTCTATCACATTGTCAGGCTGCAAATTTCCCAAACATTTATGCTCTGTTTCCTTTTTAAAACTGAATGATTTTAACAGCACCTAAGTCACTCCTTGAATGCTTTGCTGCTTAGAAAGTTCTTCTGCCAAAAACCCTAAATCATCTCTCTCAAGTTCAAAATTTCACAAATCTCTAGGGCAAGGGCAAAATGCCACCAGTCTCTTTGCTAAAACAGAGCAAGAGTCACCTTTGCTCCAGTTCCCAAGAAATTTCTCATCCCTGAGACCACCTCAGCCTGGATTTCATTGTTCATATAATTATCAGAATTTTGATCAAAGCCATTCAAAAAATCTCTAGAGAGTTCCAAACTTTCCCATATTTTCCTGTCTTCATCTGAGCCCTCCAAACTGTTCCAACCACTGCCTGTTACCCAGTTCCAAAGTTAATTCCACATTTTCAGGTATCTTTTCAGCAGCACCCCACTCTACTGGTACCAATTTACTGTATTAGTCTGTTTTTATGTTTTATGTCACTCTCAGAATAAAGACATCCTGAGAGTGAGCAATTTACAAAAGAAAGAGGTTTAATGGACTTACTGTTCCACGTAGCTGGGGAAGACTCACAATCCTGGCAGAAAGTAAGGAGGAGCAAGTAACATCTTACATGGATGGTAGCAGGCAAAGAAAGAACTTGTGCAGGGAGACTCCCCTTATAAAACCATCAGATCTTGTGAGGTTTATTCATTGACATGAGAACAACATGGGAGACTTGCCCCTACAATTCAGTTACCTCTCACTTAGTCCCTTTCACAACACATGGAAATTCAAGATGAGATTTGAGTGGGGACACAGCCAAAGCGTATCACCTGGACAAGGGACATAATACCTCAGTATAACTTTCCTTATATGTAAATTCAGGATAACTGCAGTACATAGGGTTATTGAAAATCAAACCTAGGACTTTACCCATAAAAGCTCTAATGCACTTCCTGGTACATAGCATACCCACTAAAATGCTAGCTATTATTTTTAAAGTATAATTAACTGGGGAAACCAACTGTCAAAATAGTTATAATATATCACGATTAAAATAGTTACTATATATCATGATTGAATGTAGACACACATACAAGAAACAGAGTTAGCAAAGAAAAGGCCTGGGAACATAGTTAAACTGAAAGATTGAATTATTGGTAACAGTTTGTGATTCCTTCTGTGTCCCTGGCCTTTGCCATATGACTTAATGCAGTTCACCCTGTCTTCACAGGAAAATTATACTTTCTTTTCCCTTTATTTGGCCAACCATCCTATTTATCTTTGATGTTAGCAAACTTGAGGAAAATAGAGGCTTAAACTGCACTTGAAGAATTGTGCATGCTGCTCTTGCACTTCTGCTGAGCCCTGAGAAGAACATGTCCTGATAACTGGATTGTTCTCACAGGAAGATGAGAGACTTGTAGACACAGGATGTAGACCCACAGATCTGTAGCTTGAAGCAGAATTACCTCTCTAAATCCAGTTTAGATCAGCCAAGTTCCAAACTTATGAGCAGGAAATAAATGTTCATTGTTGTATGCCAATTAGATATAGACATTTTTCTTTCTACAACAATGTTGGGCTGATATAGGGTGATGTTCAAAGATGATCTTTCAGAAGAAGTAATTTATAATTTGGATTTTGAAGGAGGAATAGGAATTCATTAGGAGGAAAAATGATGTAAGGATATTCCAGATGAAAGAATATAAAGTAGAAAAATTCTGAGGTATGAAATGCCAAGATTTAGCATTTCAGTATTTGGGCCTTGATTAAAGCATTTAGATTAATAAGGTAATAAAAAAAAAAAAAAAAAAAAAGAAGAAGAAGAAGACAAAATGGACATGAGAGTTAAATAGAGACATTAGGATAATATTTTCTTTTCTTTGAGACATAATCTTTTTGTGTTGCCCAGGCTGGAGTGCAGTGGCATGATCACAGCTCAGGGCACTGTCAATCTTCTGGGCTCCAGTGTGTCAGCTTCCCAAATAGCTGGGACCACAGGCATGCATCAGTATACCTGTCAAATATTTAAATTTTTTTTTGTAGAGACAGGGAGGGTCTCACTCTGTTGCCTGGGCTTGTCTCAAACTCCTAGGCTCAAGCAATCCTCCTACCTCTGCCTCCCAATGTTCTGAGATTAGAGGTGTGAGCTATACTCCTGACAGGATAATGTTTCATACATTAAACAATAAATGGAAAAGGTTATTAGATCACTTACTAATTTAAATTATGAGCTATCTGGGTTGCCTTCTCTGGGTTGTGGTTCTCTAGGTTTTTTGTTTTTTTTTTTTTTAATGTAAAACAAGCTTAGATTACATAAACTTCAAGGCTTCTTACAGCTGTAACAGTTTATAAATTTGTGACAAAATGCTAGCCTTAACTTTTTGTAAAAGTATCCTCTAGGCCTTTCTTTTATGCTATGGGGTTTAACTAATGGCAAATCAATATATCCTGTGGTATCTGAGAGAGCAGTTTATTGCTAAAAATTACATCTCAGTTCACCCATACACAAAATCCTAAAGGACATTTGATGTTGAACAGGTATTTGAATCCACAGCTTCCTTTTCTGGGGTTGACTGACATAGACCCACCATTTTTCAAGTTTATTTTGGAACAGTAGCTAATCAGATAGTTCTGTTGCCTCTTGCTGGGGGTTTAAATGATCACCTGATGAACTATAAATATAACTAGATTGACATTGTAGGAGTAAAATCCTTTATGAGTTCATAATCATAGATAGCCTATTCTCTTTCAGGTTCTCAGGTGGGATTCTATAAATCACTGAATGGCATAATTGCTCCCTGAATAGTAAAGTAAACTCATTAGGAGCCCATGAGAAATTAACTCTCATGCTGAAGAAACTATAAATTGGCCAATTTCCTAGTTATTTCCAAAGATAATGGGCACCCTATTGGCCAGCAGCTCTTAAACTTTTCATCAGAGGACTATATACAAGGCAAAATATAATAATGACCTTTTTTATTTTGCACAGTTTCAAAAGGAGATTTTTTTTGTTTGATTGTTAAGAGATTTTACTGTAGATGAAAATTTTGGGGGAAATTATGTATCCATCTTGTAGCAATGGTGGTAAGCAGGAGATGCATCATCTTTTACCTGAAAAAAATATATAAAGCCTATTTATTTAAATAATCAGTAAAATATCTTGATAAACATATATATTACTATGCATGGTATATTTAGAAAATAACCCCCAACAAATGTAATTGATAAGGATAAAATAAAACTCAAAGTGTTTCAAAATTAGAAAGCAAGAATGTCAGCCAATGAAAATGCTAACCTATTGAAGACAACACTGGTGATGTATGGACAATCTTGTCTTATTGTATTATCAAAGATCTCCAAGTATATATTGAATTACAGATTTTCACAGAATTGCCAATAACTACAGAGGCATTAAGAATTTGAGGACTTAGTCAAATACTTACTAAAGATATGTTTTCTTTTTAAAAATAGCTTTATTGGCATATAATTGATATAAAAACATCACATATTTAATGTGTATAATTTTTTTAAGTTTGGGCATATGCAGATACCTGTGATACCATAATCCCAATCAAGGCAATAAACATACCCATCATTTTCTAGAATTTATTTTTCTGTGTGTGTTCAAAATACAAAATGAAACCTATTTTCTAATAATTTTTTATGATCACAATACTGTATTGTTCACTATAGGCACCATAACGAACGATGTGTCTGTAATTGACTTATCTTGCATAACTGGTACTTTGTACCCATTGAACAACAACCCTTTTTAGTCATCACCTGAGATAGAGGAAGAGACAATCACTGGTTGCTCACTAAATATCAGGCCTTTTGCTAGATGTTTAAAAGCAATAGCATGTTTTACCTATGCCATTGTGTTTAATATTTTAATAAGTTTATGAAATACTTATTATAGATTAGAAGGCAGAGGCTCAGAAAATTAATTACTCAAGTAAATTTACAACTAGTAAATATTGAAGCTGATAATTGAACCAGTATTTTTTAGTTTCAGAAGCCTGTTCTTTTCACATTGTTGTTTCCCACAAAGGTTACAGACATCCTTCCCCAATATTTAATACAAGGAGTTTGCAAACACTCTTACCATCAGTCTGATAGATTTGCCCATAATCTTGCTCGTGGTCAGGGGACTACAACAAACATGAATGCAGAACCACAATGAACGACCCACATTGAGGTTTAACACATGATGTGAGTGTCTTGGGAAATTTTTTAGAAATAGAATTGACTAATTTCAACCTCTTCACATGATAACACAAGGAAAATTATGTCTTTCTTCTTTTTAAAAAAATCAAAGGAATGGAGAACTTGGTAAGTACTACCAACTAATCCTTTGAAAAGAAGACCAAGGAGAGGAACATTTAACTTCCTGGGAATATGAAAAAACTTTCAAAGCCAGTAATATCACATTTCATCTGCTCTTATCCCATAAGTCTATCCCACTAAGGAATGTCACTGGAGAATTCTGATGATCTTTAGAGCAGAATATCAAAGAATAGGTAATGAATAAGTTATAAAATTGGAGAGAGTGTTTAGCCACTTTGCTTTCAAGTAGGATGCTCCAGAGACAGCTCTGCAATGAAGACAGGTGAAAATAAACATCTTGCTCCTATGAGCATAACACCAGCAGCCCTGCCAGTAATTTATGTGCATAAGTGTCTATAATTACACATGTTCATACATATTCATTCACATGCTCCTAATTTTAGAGAACAGAAAAGTGAATAAATTGATTAGTGATTTGATTGTATTTGATTCCTCTGGCTCTCCAAGTTCCTTATAAATGTCCCAGGGTAAGTTTCTACTAATAGAGAATTTAGCCAGAGACCTTAGGGAGCAGTCGATTGACTGATGATGAAGTGATTGAGCCATTTGTTTATTTAAACATTTTATTTATTCATTCAACAGTTAGGCTCTTCTGTGCCCAGGCACCATGTCAGGTACAAAAGACATCCAGTTTGATAAGTGATTGGATCTGACCTGCAACTTCTATCCTTGTGGGAAGATGGTCTAGTAATGAACTCATTGACTGCAGGATAATGTGGCCAAGCACTAAAGATACCCAATGCATGCTGTAGTTTCAGGATTGATTCCTTAGAGATAGAGAAACCTGAGCTGCTTTTTGAAGGAGGGTTAGAAGTTACCTGGATGGTGAAAGATAGAAGGCATTTCAGATTGAGGCACAACAATAAAAAGAGTATCATATTTCCAGCATTTTTTTTTTTAACCATTAGAAGGAATTGGGGAGGATGGCTGAAAAAGAGGAAAGGTCAGATATTTTGTGATATCTGAGGAAAAAGAGGAAAGGTATGATATTTTCTGATAGAGTTGTAGTTTATCTCTCCTAAAAACTAGGGTCAGATCAGGAAGGTTTTAAGTCTAGGAGTGATATCTGGGTTTTAAGTCTAGGAAATCATCTCATGAAAATTAAGTTTGCTTCTATGAGAAAACCATTCAGGACATAGGCATAGGCAAGGACTTCATGACTAAAACACCAAAAGCAATGGCAACAAAAGCCAAAATAGACAAATTGGATCTAATTAAGCTTAAGAGCTTCTGTGCAGCAAAAGAAATTTTCATTAGAGTGAACTGGCAACCAGCAGAATGGGAAAAAAATTTTGCAATCTACCCATCTGACAGAGGGCTAATAACCAGAATCTACAAATAACTAAAACAAATTTATGAGAAAAAAACAACCCCATCAGAAAGTGGGCAAAGGCTATGAACAGACACTTCTCAAAAGAAGACATTTATGCAGCCAACAAACATATGAAAAAAAGCTCATCATCACTGGTCGTTAGAGAAGTGCAAGGCATCTCTCTGAACCTGGACTAGGGAGACACAGATGCAATCTCTATGATTTACAGCTCAGGTGGTAGGCTTCCCCTTGTAGAACATTGACTTGAAAACTTAGCTAACCACCAGCTATGAATTCTAGTTTCCCCCAGAAAATCCTGGCTGCCTGTGAAGATCACTCTCAGAGAAGCCCACTAAATTTCCAAACCGAAGAAAACCCATTTGGACTCTGATGGTAGCAACACCTTGCTTGGCCACAGCAAGTTGTGTCCACACAAAGTCTAGTCTTGGATACTCTGTGCCCAGTGGTCAAAGACTTGGAGGTAAGGAGCTCTGGGTTGATGACAGCAGGCTCTAATGCTGCCCATGTGCCCAGTCCCAGTGAGTCTGCCTAACCAACCATTCTTCTAGCTGGATTTAGATTTTTGGGAGGATTAGACCATTTGGCACCTTTGCTTGTCAGTTTCCCATCACAGAGGACCTGTGATCCTGGGGCTTTAGGCTGAGAGCCCAACCTGTTTTTTAGGTGTCCTTAAGTTGTGACTACTTTTTGTGTCTTAACTTTATGACTGACCTTTGCTTCTCACAATCTCTTTACATCACTGTAAACCCTATTCAATAATCATATTCTTTCTCACTGTGAAAACTGCTTTGATGGATGTGCTTTCTACTCTCTCGCTTTGGCCTGGCTGCTCCTAAGACTCTTAGACCTTTCAGACAAGGCTCTTGGAACTCTAATATTGGCTTCAGCATGAATTCTTCCTGCCTTCCTACTTCTAAGTAATCTCACTTTCCCCCAACTGCACCCTGGACAAGCTGTTCCTGGGCGCTGTCAATTTATACTGGCTTCTATTTGCTTATATTTTTCTCTGCCACTGCAAGAGCATCTAACTAGCAGAGCAGCCAATGTCAACACCTGTCTCTTTTCCTTATATATACAATGGCCATCATTTGTTGTGTATTCATTTATTACCCTGGAGTTTGTGAAATGAATGTATAAAGAGAGAACAGAGGCATGTGTTCTGCAAGGGAGATGGGGAAGCTGGATCTGTCACATCCTCCTTTGTAAGCCATGCTGGGCAGAAGCCAGCCTGCTTAGTTAGCTTAGGGGAGAAATAGAGAACATTCACATAACAGGCATAGGCTCTGGAAGTATACTGCCAAGACCCAGCAGCCAGCCTTTTGGAAAAGGAGGTGTAGAAAGACCGTAGGGAAATGGAGAAATCAGCTGAGCCTGACAAGATAGAGGAGAAGGAATGTGAAGGGACAGACATGTGGATTAACCCTACTTGAGATAGGTTTGCTAGGACCATGCCACGAATTTGAACTTTATAGACTCACAGAACATCAGAGCTAGGAACACTGCGAGATCATGTTAGAGCATCTCACAAGGGCAAGGGGGGCAACCTAAATAAGTGAGTCAGTAGGGATGGCAGCAGACAGTGCGTGGTCCTTCTCCACACAGACAATTGGTAGCATGCAGTAATGTGGGCCAGTGTTGCAAGAACTTCATAGTTTTCCAAAAAAAGCCAGAAATCCAGATTTTATATAAAGTTTCCTGACTTCTATATGCTATCAAATAATTAATGTTGTTTTAACACAGAAAAATCAAAGCACATCTGTGGGCTGGATATAGCCTTCAATCTAAATGGGCCCTATATTTTTAAGGTGATAATAGCTGAAGAACAGGAAATAAGTGTTTTTCTCTGAAGTCCAATAATTTACTTGGAGAAAGAGAAGTACTTGATGGCTTAGTATACTGTCCTCATTCTCTTCCTCTCTCCGATTCAACACCCTATGGAGATGTGGGAACATAAGGTGTTCTATTCCCTCCTCAATAACAGGTGATGGAGTAGGGCCAATGACCTGCTTTTGCATCTTGACTTTTTACTAACTTGGCTCCTCCCCTGTGAGGTTGGTCCCCATTCAGTGCAGTGAGAATGTGAAAAGACCTGGGTTATATTATAGCCCAGGCTGAACTATTTACCATGTGGCCTTGGAAAATTCTCTTCTATTCTTTGGACCTTATTTTCCTCACAGACAAAGTATGGCTGTCAGCTTATGTAAATTCCAAGTTCCTATATAAGTCAACCCAAGTGAACCCAAGCTTGCTTTAAATATCTGTCTAAGTTCTCATGTCATCACCCTTCATTACCACTTTCTTCTATTCCATCCCTCCCTCCCTCCCCACACATGCCCTCACACCCACGCCAACATCATGAGTACCTGGTGTTTTCAAGCTGCTGCTCAACCCTGGAGTCCCACTGACATGCAACATGGAGATCCACCCTTCATTGCCCATGTTAAGATTCATTCAAAATCACTTTACCAATCAAAACTCACCACCAGGTAGAGAACTGAGATGACTAAATATTGGAAATGAGTAAATAAACTTCTCAGTATATGAAGATTTAACTGAAAAACTTTGGAAAATCATTAGAACTGATGAAAGAATTGAATAAAATGGTCTGTTGTAAAATAAATACACAAAGTCAATAGTTTTTCTCTAGCTAAGCTGTAACCAGTTAAAAAATACACACATACACTCTTCTCCTAAAAATGATCATTAAAAAAATGTATAGGACCTACATAAGTAAAACAGCACACCTTTACCATTGTGCATAAAAGAAGATGGGACAAATGCTTATGAGAGAAACCATATTGTGACAGATGTTCTGGAGGTTAATCTATAAACTCAGTGGCTTACTTCCAGTTTGGTACATTAATAGACTGCTAGTAAAAATCTTAATCACATTGTAGATGTGGTGTAGAGGAAGTTATAAAACAATTCTTAGTTTCATTTGGAGTAATGAGGTACTACATTCTAAGTATACCCAGGATCCAGTCACTTATTTCCACCTCCTTTGGTCCAAGCCCTCAAGGTTTCTCATTTCAGTAGCCTTGTAATAAACCTTATACTTTGATCCTTGCTCTTTTCAATCTGTTCTCAGCACAGCTCCTAATGTATTCCTATCAAAATGCAGGTTAGATAATGTCACCTTCCTGATCAAAATCTTTCAATGGCTTTCTATCTTTTAGCAAGTAAAAGCAAAATTATCCTGATGGCCTGCAGTGACCTACATGATCTGAACCTTGTCATAAGACTTCCTCATCTCCTGCCTCTCCACCACCCACTTAATCTAGAAACACTGTTTTTCTGGGTGCTCCCACAGGCACCCTGTACATTCCAGCCTCAGGGCCTCTGCACTTACTGTCATTGCTTCCTGGAATGCTTCGACTCTAAATATCTATGTAGTTTACCTTCTCACATCTTTTGGTATTTAACCCATATATTATCTTTTCAGTGAGATATTTCTTGTATATCCTACATGATATTTCAAACCTCTCCCCTCAGACATCAATTACTATTTTTCTCTGTAGTCATTATCATAGTTTCAGCACACTATATATTTTATTTTTGTAAAGTCCGTGAGGGCAAAGAGTTTTGTCAGTTTTGTTTACCGCTGAATTTTCAGTGCATGTGCTTAGCTAATCATAAGCACTCAATAAGTACTTGTTAGAAGAATAATGAGGAAAAACATACTACAAGACATTAAAATTTATTTTAAAACTCAAATAATGAAAAGGGCATGGAATCAGTAAGCTGAATAAAAGAAAAAAATCCTAGAAGAGACACATTCTAAATATCAATTCGGAACGTATCAAAAGTGGCATAATTCTTATTTAGGGCCACTAGAATCATATGACTCATTTCAATCAGTGGAATTAAGAGAACTAGTTAGGAATAAGAATGCATAACTATCTTGTAATATGTATACATCAAAATAAATGACAGATGGACAAAAATATTTACCTAAAAATCATCTTCTACAAAGACAGGCCCAGGAAAAATTGGCCTTATTTGTAAATTCTAACAAACATTTGAAGAATAATTAATTCTAATTCTTCACAAACATTTCCAAAAATAGAAGAGGTAGGAATACATCTCAACCCATTCTATGAGACATTGTACTGTGATATAAAAATCAGACAAATAAATTGCAGGAAAATAAAACTACAGATCAATTTCGCTAGTGAAAAAAGGACTAAAGAAATTACAGAATCTAGCAATATGTGAACAGGATTCCACACCACAACCAAGTGGAATTTATCCCAAGTATCCAAGAGTAGTTAACATTTAAAAGTAAATAAATGTAATAAAACTTACTAATAGAATAAGACAAACCCAACATAGTAATTTCGAAAGACAAAGAAAAAGCTTTGGCAAAGTTTATATAATAAACCTTTTTATAATAGGGCACTCCAAAAGCTAGGAATAGAAGGGAATATCCTCAACCTGATAAAAGGCATCTACAAAAAGAATCCTACAGCTTATATCATTCTTGTGAAATACTAGATGCATCTTTTTAAGATAGCAATCCTTCCTAAGTTGATCTACAGATTCAATGCAATCCCTATCAAAGTCCTAGCTATCATTTTTACAAAAATCAATAACCTGATTGTAAAATTTATATGGAATAAGGGACCTAGAATAGCCAGAGCAATGTTGAAAAATAAGTACAAAGTTGGAAGACTAACATTTTCCAATCTCAAAACTTACTACAAAGCTGTAGTAATAAAGATGGTGTGAGACTGGCATACAAAGAGGCAGGGAGATCCATAGAGTAAAAGTGAGAATCCGGAAGTAAGCTCCTACAAATGTGACTGATTTAATTTTATAAATTGTGGTAACATTTAACATGAAATCTACCAGTTAAACAAATTTTTATGTGTACAGTACAGTATTGTTAACTATAGGCATAATATACAGCAGATATCTATAATTTATTAATCTTATATAATTTAAACTTTATGCCTATTGACTCACAACTCCTTGTTATTAATAACAGCCCTGACAACCACTATTCTACTCTCTACTTCTATAAATTTGAATCTTCTAAGTCGCTCATGTAAGTAGAATCATATAGCATTTGGCATACCTGGCATATTTTATTTAGCATAATGTCTTCAATGTTCATCCATGTTGTTGCATATTGCAGGATTCTCTTTTCTAAAGCTGAATAATATTCCATTATATTTATATGCCACATTTTAAAAAGCATTCACCCATCAATAAACATTTACATTCTTTCCAAATCTTGGCTATTACAATGTATCAATTTTTGACAAAGTTCACAATTCATTGGAGAAAGAATTTTTTTTCAACAAATGAGATTAAGATAACCAACTATTCACATGAAAAAGAATGAAGTTGGACACTTCTTCATTCTTTACTAAAAAAACTTAAATGTAAGAGCTAAAATGATAAAAACCTTGGAAGAAAGTATCTTCATACTCGGTTTTGGCAATGCCTTCTTATATGATACCAAAATTACAACTGACCAAACACAAAAATAGATAAATTAGACTTTTTCAAAATTAGAATCTCAAAGGACATCATTAATAAAGTTAAAGCATAATTCCCAAAACAGGAAAAAAATTTCAAATCAAATATGGTCTAGTATTCAAATTATGTGAAGAATTGTTTAAAAGATGAATAACTCAATTAAAAATGGGTAGAACATTTTACTTCTCCAAAGATTTACAAATGGTCAATAGACACTTGAAAAGATGTTATTTTATCCCCTTCCTTACACAAATTTTTATTTCACGTTCCTTTGATTTCCACTTTTAGACCTGACCTGTGATCACTTCTGATTAGCCCTTCATCCTCTGTTTGCATTTTTTTAAACTAGAACCAGTATTTAATTATTCATTCATTGTGAAACATAAAGGCTAGTGTCTTGACTGACTGCCAGAAATCTGAATTCCTTTACATCAACAGTTTTGAAAACTCCAAAAGTAATGGTCTTTCATGAAAAATACCTTCTGGTCTGTTTATTGTGCAGTCAGTCTATAGCTCAGTCAGCTGATCTAACTGTCAGGAAATGTAACCTCGTATGGCCTTGTCTGGATGTACTTATTTGATGTCATAGCTGTTTTCTTAAAGTCTTACCTTAGTGACACCCTGCTTAAGCTGGTTAGTCTGACAGTCTGCATCCATATAGCTCTAATACTCAAAGAAACTTACTTCAGGTCTTGTCTTTTTTGCTTCTTCTTCCTCATTCCTTCTTTCTCCTTATGTGTTTTTCATTCATTTTCCTAATATTGAGGAATAAATGGATGAATGAATGAATGAATACCTGGCACACAGGATTTTAAGAATGGCAAGGCCAATTTTTCCACTTAGGGGATTATCTTTAGTGGCAGATGGGAGGATGCCCTAGATAGAGAAGAGACTGCACACTGAAAAACCATTCAGTGGACTATTCTTATTTTTGATAGTTATGGTGGTTTATTTTGGTGACTGAAGGTCTGTCAAAATGTCACAGTGCCATTCAGAGCATCAAAAATTCAAGTATGTTTTTTGTGCTTTGACTTTCAAGATCACTAACCTTGAAATTAGCAATAAAGCATCCATTTGAAAACCATAATACATTCATTCATTTATTCAGCAAATTCTTGTTTAGCATCTACTGTGCTTTGGCATAGCTAAATTGAATACGCAGCAAAGGAGAAAAACAGTCACAGTTCTGGATACTACACTCTGGCAACAGACAGTAAGTAAACCAAATAAATGTGAAAGTGGATATGTGAATAGACTACAGTTATGTGAACTGGAACTGAAGGTCTGGAAAAAAAAGTAATGGAAAAATAAAAGTAGTGAGGTTAGGAAGGGCTGCCAAAGAAAGATGAGCCTTGCAGGCCAAATGATGATGATCCTGTTGCTGCTGTAAATGTTAGCAGTACTGCTTGGTGTTCAGGTAATACTGTCACCTTCATGAAGTGTTCTCATAACTGTTTAATAATTGTGCCTTTTCTAAATGAAATGCGAGTTTCACAAAAAAGTAAAATTAAGTCATCTGTGGTTACAGATTTGCCAGAGGCAGAGGTGGTGTTCGAACCATCTTTTGTGATTAGCATCTCTAAATATGCGTCGCTGCAGAACAGCTTATTAACACAAAATCTCACGCATAAACCCATTCCTCATTTTGACCCTACCTGAATATTGCCCTCTATCCTCCTGTCCCCCACCCCCCAGGGCAAGGTCTAGGCTCCAAGGAATAGAGTTTGGAAATTCTTTTTTTTTTTTTTTTGAGATAGAGTTTCGTTCTTGTTGGGACTGAAGTGCAATGGTGCAATCTTGGCTCACTGCAGCCTCCATCTCCCAGATTCAAGTGATTCTCCTGCCTCAGCCTCCCAAGTAGCTGGGATTACAGGCACCAGCCACCATGCCCAGCTAATTTTTTTTATTTTTAGTAGAGACAGGGTTTCGCCATGGTGGCCAGGCTGGTTTTGAACAACCTGACCTCTGGTGATCCACCCACCTCGGCCTCCCAAAGTGCTGGGATTACAGGTGTAAACCACCATACCCAGGCCAGTTTGGAAATTCTTATACGTTATGCTTGCTATGGAGACCTGAAATACTGGGAAATGAATTTATCATGTAAGTCTAATAAATGTACTCTGGTCTATATGCAACCTCATGCTTTCTATCTAAGCATTGCTAGAGAAACGTTGTCAATGAATGTAGTATTGTTTGATCCCCATCATATCAAATAGGGCTGTTTGGCTAGTTACAAGGGAGAAAATAATCTAAGGAGACTTATATGTACCGCTCTGTGCTTGGTGAGAACTTTTCACTCTGCTCTGGTGATGCTGTCCTTGTGCGAGCTCTAGGATGTGCCAGCTTTCCTACTGTGCTCCCTGGTTGCTGCATATTAGCCTGTAGTTCAACATTTTAAAGTCAGGACATTTCTTTCTAAGCCCAGGAAAATTGATACTATGGAGTTCCTTTGAAAACTGCCATTCCTGGCAGAGGGTCCTCCTATTTCTTACTTTCTTACAGACAGATGGTAATTTTTCTGGCTAGATTTAACCTATTTAGGGAATAATCAACCTTTGCTAGCCCTCTTTAGACTGGCGTCCCCACCTGGCCCCCTCTTTGACCACGAGGAACACCGTTCCTTCCTGTCTTTTGAAAAATGACGTCATGACATTTTTTCTATTTGAGTTTCTCTCAAATTGATCACTCAGACAACCTCAGACTCACTCTCCCAGAGATATCATTTTCCCAATAAGAACTCTGCTAGTTAGCAGCTCCTGAACCAGATGCTATCCCACTGGCAACCTTGGATCTATCAGTGGAACAGGTATGAAAATCACAGTGTCACAGAGTAGACCTTATAGTGTGGACAGGGCTGCCCGATGCCCACATGCCATGGGCAGAAGGCAATGTCTCACCCCAATATGTCTGCTGAGTATCTATGAACTTTCAGTAATTAGCTGAAAATCTCTCCGTGCTGAGTTCTATTGTGTCCCTTTCCCATTCATGTTCACCTGGAACCTAGGATGTGACCTAATATTGAAACAGTTCTTGTGGATACAATTCATTATGATGAGGTCATACTGGATTAGGGTAAGTCTTAAATTCAAAGGCTAGTGTCTTTATAAGACGATTATGTGAGGACACAGAGACACACACAGAGGGAAGAATGTGACAACAGAGACAGAGATTGGAGTGGTGTGTCTGCAAGCCAAGGAGCAACGAAGATTTTCAGTAACCACCAGAAGCTAGAAAGAGAGGAGGAAGGATTCTTCCTTAAGCTCCTTCCTAAGGAGCGTAGGCCTTCTGGCGCCTTGATTTCAGACTTCTGGTTTCCTGAACTGTGGGAGAATGCCTTTCTGTCATTTTATCCACATAGTTGGTGGTAACTTGTTACAGAAGTCCAGGGAAACTAATACAGTCTCTGTTCCTCTGAGGCCTTTTTGACCACTCTGATTAGAGCTGAGAATTTTCTTCTGAATGTCCTGTGCTGGTTAATTTTTTTTTGTCCCCACATTATTCTTTGCACTTCCATGCCCTTTTCTGCTCCCTGAGATGTGAACATAGAGGGATGATATCACCCAACTTTCTTGCCTTCTGGCTACTACTTGGGTTGGTCAATGAGAGGCTGGAAGGAAATCTAAGGGGGAGAATAGAGAGACACCAGTGGTTTTGACTTGGCTGGCTCCCTCTACAACCAAGCCTTTGTCAATTGGCCTTTCTTCATGGACCTACTATTGGAAGAGTTTTTGTAGATGTATTCATTACGATGAGGTCATACTGGATAAGGGTGAGTCTTAAATCCTTTCTTCTTGGAAAAAAGGCCAATTAACAAAGGCTATAGTTGTGGAGGAAGCTTCCTTCCCCTAGCTCTCAAATGGGCTCCAGTTATATTGTTTTTTCCCCTTGACCCTTTCAACTTAGGATGGTAACTGCTGGTCCTCAACATCCCCTGCAGATGTTCTTAACCTTGCCCACAGTTCCATAAATATTTTCTTGACTTAAAACTCTACTCACATCTCTCCTCATAGCATGCACAGACACAGCTGTCTCTATGCCTCTGTCCAGTGGAGAACTTGAGAGCACTCACCTGTGCTTATGTCTGTCTCTCCCAGACCATGGGCTGTGAAGCACAAGCATACTTGGACTTAATAGTTTCAGCATTTCTCACAGAGACTATTCCATAGTAGTTGCTTAGTAAATTAATAAATGAACACATGAGGAGGAAAGCCCTTTCACAATCTAAAAGTACTTAATTTAGAAGTTCATGTTCCTGAGCTCCTAGAAACGGTAGGCTGGGTTTGGGAGACACGTCAGAGTACACTGTGTAGATAATAAGAAATGATTATTGAAGCCCAGTATGTTCACAGAGCGCTGATGCATATTTCATAACACTTGACCTTAATCACAACCTTATGAGAGAGAAGAGAAAGTCAGATATGATTTCAGTTCCCCAAAAAGATAACATACCTAAAGAAATTAAATATATTATCATTAAGTACTTATATTTCAATTACTATTCAAAGTCACGATTTAAGTTTAATTAATAAACCTTAAAATTTTTCAGCATAAAGTGAGATATATAAACAAAAGAATTTTATTTGGAAACAAATACAATACTGTAATTGGGGAAAGAGACCATCTTTGAGGGGAGCTATTATTAATGGTCCTTCATCCATTCGCCTTCTACTCATCTTCTATTGTTTTAGTTGAGAACTGAAGGATAAATAAGGAGTTACTGAATTGAAGGCATTACAGGTTGGGGTGAAGAGGATTTTGTGCAGAAGGACTAGTTCGTTCCAAAATTGAAACAAAGATTAGTCCATTTGAGGAGTCAGAACAGTCCAATGAGGCTGAAGTTTGGTAAGGTCGGAGCAAAGCCATGGCATTGGGAGTTCTCACAGGCTCCACTCTTCCCAGAGGCTCACAGCCTCCCAGCACGGAAAAGAATGCAACCGATTATTCCTTTCTACCTGGAGTCCTTGCACTAAGAAATTTAACAAAACTTTCATTGAGGGGGAAAAACGCTTCAAATCCTTAATTTAATAAAATTAGTTTTTATTATATACTTGACCCTCTCAGTACTTAGAAAGATCAGGAGATACACTAAAGTTGTTGGAAAATTAGTTATAGATGCCTACATTTTCCATAACTAATTTTTATAAACAGAATAGAACTAGTATCCTAAATGAAAAAGTTGCTGTACCATGTCAAGAATCAATTGTATTATAAAGAGAAAAATTTTATTATGTGAGAAGTATAATGAAAAATATAGTGACATAGTAGGATGTATATGGCCCAAAGTGAAGTGGAGATTAGAAGTTGTGGTAGTCAGGGTGCTACTGGGAAACAATGGCCCAGGCTTATTGAAAAGTTTAAAGAAAGGACTTTTTCTAGAGTGTACACAGGCTTAAGGGAACTCATGCAAAATAGGGTCATGGGGATGTGCTTTTATGGTTAAGCATTTTTGTCCCCTCCAAAAATTTAAGTTGTAATTTAATTCCCAGTACAACAGTGTTGAGAGATGGGGACTTTTGACAGGCATTTATATCATGAGGGCTTAGTTTTCATGAATGGATTAATGCTGTTGTAAAAGGGCTTGACAGAGGAATTTTGTCCCTTTTTTATCTTCCTGCCTTCTGCTATGTGAGGATGATGCATTGCTCCTTTCAGGAGGATGCAGCATTCAGGGCACTCATCTTGGAAGCAGAGACAGGACCCTCCCGAAACCTGCCAGCAGCTTGACCTTGGACTTCCCAGCCTCCCTCTAGAGCTGCAAGAAATAAATCTCTGTTCTTTATAAATTACTTAGTCTGTGGTATTTTATCACTTTCACTACAGCACAAGTAGACTAAAACAGAAATTGGTACCAGAGAAGTGGGCGTTGCTATAACAAATACCTAACGATGTGGAGGCAGCTTTGGAACTTGATAATGGGCAGAGACTGAAAGAGTTTGGAAATAAATGCTGGAAAAAGCCTGTATTGCCATGAAAAAGGCATTGAGGATGATTCTTGTGAGTGTTCAGAAGATACGATCTTTAGGGAAAGCCCTATTTTTGTAGTTACTTAAATGGTTATGAACAGAATGTTGGTAGAAGTATGAACTGGGAAGACTATTCTGCTCTATACAGTGGTTTTCAATTTTGCCTGCACATTGGTGATTCCAATGTGCAGGCAAATTTAAAATACATGTACACACACACACACACACACACACAGAAACAGATATAGATATAGATATAGATATAGATATAGATATAGATAGATATATAGCCAAATCCCACTGCCAGAGATTCTGAGTTAATTGGTTTGGTGTATGGCCTGCGTATTGAGAGTTTTAATAGCTTCCTGAATGATTTTGATGGGTATGTGGTATTGAGAACTAGTTTTCTATATCTTAACATTTATTTTTCTCCTCTGAATTGCTGCAACATTGTTGTATCTCTTACAATATAATATAAAACCTTTAAATTTCTCTTACCTTGTTTCTTATAATGAAGCTCAGTATTTCACATTGAACTCTGCTTTCTCTAACAAAATGACAATGCATGTCTTTAGATTCTCTTTAGTGCTGATTCCATTTCTGAGCATATAGTAGCTACTTACTAAGTATCCAGTGGGTCAGTGTACTGGAGATCACTGAGTACCTTCACACAAGGTCACGGAGTACAGTCTCTTCTTCCTCCTATTGGAGACAGGTTTCCATTCCAGAGAGAACGACAAGCCAGAACATCAAGAAGACAAATTGGTTTTGAGAATGTCAACATGAAAAATGAGAAAACTACTTTTAACAGTTGGAAACCTATTTAAACTCCTAATCCTCTTATTAAACCTGTTTGGAGACAGCTTGGAGAAGCCAATGCTAGGGCTGCTTCCATTTACCATCCAGATGTACAAAATAAATAATGGAATTGTAATCAGCTGGAGAAGCTGCAGAGCCCTAACACCTGATGAGATTTTTAAATTCATTTTTCCCCTGGGAAAGCTAATTACAGCAAACTATTTCATCAAACTGTCCTGGAGAGTGGTTGTACTTGGCAGTGCCACCCTTAGAGACAAGTTTACTTAATAAAAGGATATGACCTTAGTTCCACTACATTAAGGTAACAGAAACCAATTGTTTGTGTGCATTTGTCATAAGGGCTGTTTTTATGAGTAAGTTTTCAGAAGAAGAAAACCATTATTATTTGGAGAATATTGCCTCAATCTTCAAAAGCATAGGGGTTATAATTGTTAATAATATACCTCGATTCATTTTCATGTATATACAGGTTTTGACACGTTTGGCAAGATACATAGATAGACACACACACACACACACACACACACACACACACATTTATTTCATAGCAACCCTGAAATTTAGGAAATAATACCCCTTTTTACAGGTAAGAGACTCAAGACCCAGAGAAGTTACTTGCTCAGAGTTAAGTAAGTGTTCAGTGTTAGAACTAATATGAGAACTTAAGCCTAATTTACTTCTATTTTTTTCCAAGCTGCTTCCGATTATGGTGGCAAAAAAAAAAAAAAAAAGAAAAATAACCTAAGACTTTCGACTTTCTTGGGAAAATGGTACACACGTAACATTTGTTCTTTTAAGACACATGAAGGTAGACATTGGATTAGGACCCTTTGATAAGACAATGAGCCAAATGAGAACCATCCTGGGGTGCAGATGAAGAACGGCTCCTGTGAGGAGTGGTTTTTATTTTTCCCTTTGGGAAAAAGCTGGACTGAGACACTCTGATGAAAAGAGACCATCTACCTCATTTTCTCCCTCTCCCTTTCCATTATCGTGCCAGGCACATCTGCCTTTAATGCCACTAACTTTCTGGGTTACTTGATGCTTCCAAACGTCCCACTGGCTCCTCGCACATCTATCCCCTCTGACTCACAGTCAAGTCTTCTCTTCCCTCCACCAGGATCTCACTGTTCTCTGTTACTCTCTCAGGTGTTCCCTTTGTTCCAGACTTGCAGATTTGCCCTCTGCTTTTCTTTTCTTTCTTTCTTATTTTTTTTTTTTTTGAGACGGAGTTTCGCTCTTGTTACTCAGGCTGGAGTGCAGTGGCGCGATCTCAGCTCACCGCAACCTCCGCCTCCCGGGTTCAGGCAATTCTCCTGCCTCAGCCTCCCGAGTAGCTGGGACTACAGGCACACGCCACCATGCCCAGCTAATTTTTGTGTTTTTTAGCAGAGACGGGGTTTCACCATGTTGACCAGGATGGTCTCGATCTTTTAACCTCGTGATCCACCCGCCTCAGCCTCCCAAAGTGCTGGGATTACAGGCTTGAGCCACCGCGCCCGGCCTTGCCCTCTGCTTTTCTGCCCTCATTCATTCCTTCCTTGCTACCCCTTCCCTCCTGCGTGCTCCCTCCTTTCTCTTTCTCTTCTGCATATAATGATGCTGCACATTTCCAATTCCTTTTTTATTGCTGGTCTATCTCCTACTGAGCTATGCCTTCTCCTGAATGTGTTGTTAACAATTATGTCTTCTGCTTTTCTCCATTGTTCTCATGTATGTGCTTGGCATATTTCCAAAGGTGCTGAAGGCTCAGTAGATATTCAAAAAATCTTCCAGTACTCATTAGGAAGAGGGGAGACAGTGAGGTAAAATGTGTCATAAAACATTGAGACTTCCACATTTTTTTTCCTTTCTTTCAACTCGGGAAGAAATAAGTAAATAAACAAGGATAATTATATCTGAAATAATTTAATGCTGTCAGTCACTGTTTCAGAACATGCTCCTCTTCAAGGCTAATCATTCCAAAGATAGGTGAAAAAATATGTTGATGTATTTATTCATTCAGTCAGTCATCCACACTCCTTTGTCTTCTAAGAACATAAAGGTAATGGCCATTTATGGTGCTTAAAAGCACCATTTTTAAGCAACTCATCATTTCCACACTGATTTGAAGTAACTCCTTTATTATACACTAACATCTCATTTATCCTAGAGTATTTTCTTTCTGGGTTAGGTCTTCAGTAGTTTTCAGACTTGATTTAATATATCTTAGGGAAAAAATCCTTAGTTTTTCTTTTATTTAAAAATATTCTTGGCTGTATTCACTCACTTTTTCATATAAAATGTAAATTTACTGTGATTAGTTAAACTATTATGATTTTGATTGGAATTTTATTAAACCCGTGCATCGGTTTGAGGGAGAATTGACATTATCACTACTTAAAATGATCTCATTTAAAAACACAGTTTCCTTCCGTGTTTATTAAAATTTTTTTTATACTTTTTAACACAAAAATGTTATTTTCCTCATTTGTTAAGATGAGGATAACAGGATCTATGTCACAGTGTCATAGTGAAGATTAAGTGACATGATACTTGTAGAGCCCTTGATGTGTTCCACAGATAGCAAGCTGTCAGCGAGGATTATTAAGTATAAGCTCTGATCATGATGGAAATAAACATGATGCTTGTTTTAGTTTGGGCTGCTGTAGCAAAGTACCATAGGCTGGGGAGCTTATAAACAACAGAAGTTTGCTTTCATAGTTCTGGAGGCTGGAAGTCGGAGATCAGTGTGCCAGCATGGTTGGCTTCCAGTGAAGACCCTCTTTTGAGGTTGTATCCTCACACAGTGGAGCGGGAGAGAGAGTGGGCTAGTGTTCTTCTTATATGCTCACTAACCTCATCATGACCTAATTATCTCCCCAAGTCCCCACCTCCAAATACCATACTACTGGGGCTAGGGTTTCAATACATGAATTTGGGGAGTACACGAACATGTAGTCCATAGCATATCCCATCCTTCTACCCCATCTTCATCCTAAGAGATAAGGTGTAGGAAAATAAATATTAATAATATGCTGGATTCCTCTTAAAATCCCAGAAGTATTGTATAAAATATCTCTGCAAGTCTGAGTCTCTGCCTGAAATCAGTGGTAGGAATTCCTAATGTGGATCACCGGGCAAGAAATAAAACAGAATTCTGTATGATCCAAAGTTCATTCTCTCTAAGAACTGTCTGCCTTCAGGTATCAGATCCCACCAGCATTTGTTACTATAAATTCAAGTATTTCTCTTTCCTCTTTATTGTGTTTCACTTGACATTATAAACATTTACCCATTTTTAAGTTATTATTTTCAAAGAATCATTTTCTTCATTTATTTATCCAGTCTACATTTCTTTTCTGGATATTACTAATTCCCCTCTCTTACTTTTTCTAGAATTTTGTCCTTGTCTTTTTTCTAATTTGAGTTCAAGGAACAATTTATTTTCATTGTGTGTTTTTTTTTGGTTTATTAATGAAATCATTCATGTTTATAATATTGCCTCTGAACAAAGTTTTTATTATCTGGCTTGTTAGAATTGATATATCCATATGGTCATTCATTTCAATTTTAATTTTATTGAATTGTAGTCAGAGACCATGGCTTGTGTGTTTCTGATTGGAATAATGTATAGAGTTTTCCTTAGTGACTGGATATATGATACATTTTTGTAAATGCTCCACAAAGTCTTGAATAAAATATTTATTTCTCTTGAAGGTATTTACAATTGTTCCCTTTCCAGTACCACCCAAATCCAACTTGTTACCAAAACCTGCCAAATCTACCAAAAATATATTTCATATCAGCCTCTTTGTTTTCACCTCTGCTGACCCCACCTCCACTAAGCAGCCACCAGAATTGTTCCCTCACCACTACATTGATTTGTGGTGTTTTCCAAACCCTGCTCCACCTGCCAGCCAGGTGATTTAAATACGTCAATCAGTTTGCAACCCCCAGCCCCCCTGCAGCAAGCTGAATGCTCTCCATTTGTTTCTGCTCAAAGGAAAGAATTGAGACCTAAACACACTGCAAAACTTGGCCCCTTTTTTCTCTCTCACTTGATTACAGGCCCCCCTTTCCTGTGCTTACTGAGATGGAGCCATAGAGGGGACAGCCCTCTGTTTGGTCCTTGAATCTGTCAAGCACTTTTTCGTCTCAGACCCACAGCACATGGTGTCTCCGATCTGCAAGGGTCTCTATTGTGTTTGCTTGTGTTTTAACTTAAAAACCACACCATTTATAAGTGTAGAAAGGAGAGCTTTACTTATAAAGGCAATTACAACCTCAGACAGAACTACAGCCTTGGCCAAAAAATCCAAAAGTAAGCATTTTTGGAGGGGGAGGGTGGAATGAGGATTTATGCTGAATGGATTGACTAAGAATACATATTTAATAGATGTAGGAGGAGTTACAGATATTCATGAAGGCGTTCCTAATGCATGCATACTAAAAAACATGCATGTTACATACAACCTAAGTTCATTTAGGAGTGGAGACTTAACATTACAATTAGGCCCCATGTGCCAAAAGGTGAAGCAGGGACACAAAGAACTCAGTGTGCAGCCTCTCTAAACAGGCCAGAACCAGTCCATGGTTGGGGGTCTCTTATTAAGAGAAAGTTACTGAAATCAGTCCCTTGTCCAATCAAAACTAGTTAATGGCTGTGGAAAGGCGGGACAGTCAGTTAGCCAGCATCTGGCAGTGAGCTGCAACTGTTTAAATATTGCTTATCTCAAAGCCAGGGCCTATTTAGCTGCTAGAGAAAAAGACAAAGCTAGTGGCAGTTAGAACATAGTTTATTCTTTTTTTAAATATTTTTTTTTTGAGATGGAGTCTCTCTCTGTTGCCAGGCTGGAGTGCAGTGATGCGATCTCGGCTCACTGCAACCTCTAGCTCCCGGGTTCAAGTAATTCTCCTGCCTCAGCCTCCCAAGTAGCTGGGACTACAGGCACACGCCACCATGCCCAACAATTTTTTGTATTTTTAATAGAGACGGGTTCCACCAAAACATAGTTTATTCTTTAAGTGTAGGAGTATGTGACTTAACCCCTGCCTGGCATGGCCTGATGTCTTATTGCCATGAAGTTCATTCAATCCATCTTATGATCTCCATTTTAACATTAATGCTGGTCAGTTGTTGCATCTAAACTGAAAAGAGAGAGGGTATAATGAGGTGTGTCTGACCTTCTGTCCCATCGTGGCCAAGAGAATTCACCTTTGAACTTAAGAGCTTTTAAAGGTTTCTCTGGGATCCCCTTGGCCAAGAAGCGATCTGTTCAGTCAGCTGAAGGGACTTAAGATTTTATTTTTGTTTACATCTGGCTTGCTTCTTTGCCTGCCCCAGGCCTCTGTCTCCAGAGAGCTCTTCCCAGACCACCAGACCTAAAGGAAATCTATCCCTCCCCCTCCAAATTCAATTTCCTCAAACTCCGTACTATTCCTTTACAGCACTTAATGCAATTTATAATTGAATATTTGTTGCAAGTCCCAAAACTACCTTATCTACTAGGCTGAAAGCTCTATGAATGAAACATCTTTATGTCCCTCAGAAAACCTATTGTGTAGCACATTTTCAACATGTAAGTCTCTTGAAAATAGGTTTAATGGAAAACTGACTTGTGTAGAGCACAGAGTATGATATATCTCCCCAAATTTACCTTATTATTTGTAGTATTTGGAACAAACATCCTTATTTATTTATTCTTCATCAGTCAAGCGAGGAGCCACAAGTATTGAAGTTCCTACTATAGTTATGTTTCTGTCAATTTCTTCATATTTCTGGTATGTTTTGCTTTAGAAATGCCAAAGCAATGTTGTTCAGACTGTGAGTGTTTTTGGACTGTTGTAATTGTGCATGATCTAGGACTCTTGGTTGTAACTAATAGGATCCAATGTGAACTTGTAGCAGTGGACTTTAAAAGAAGAACTTGAGACCAGCAATGCAGCCAGGCCTTAGGGTGTCTCAATATGAGTGTTTGTTTGTTTGTTTGTTTGTTTGAGACAGAGTTTCACTGTTGTTAACCAGACTGGAGTGCAATGGCACGATCTCGGCTCACCACAACCTCCACCTTCTGGGTTCAGGCAATTCTCCTGCCTCAGCCTCCCGAGTAGCTGGGACTACAGGTGCGCACCGCCATGCCCAGCTAATTTTTGTATTTTTAATAGAGACGGGGTTTCACCTTGTTGACCAGGATGGTCTCAATCTCTTGACCTCGTGATCCACCCACCTCGGCCTCCCAAAGAGCCGGGATGTTTTTGTTCACCTTTAATTGATTTTTATGTCTATGTAGCTCTAGGCCTTGTTTGTAAACAATGCATGTAAATATTCATTAGTTTTTTTTCCACTGGTCACCAAATGGCTTGGACTCTCCCAACATCATAAACAAAAGATCCATGAATATGGTCACCCCCAAAAGGAATTTTTGTGTTCATACCATGTTTTCCCTCTGCTTGATGGGGCAGCCTCTCTGTGGGCTAACCCTGTATGCCTGGCCTTCTGTCTGGCCAGATTTCCAGATGTTACTGAGCCAAGGACAGGTTAAACCTGGCTTAGTATCCTCCTTCCAGGTACTCATGACTGCCATCATTGGGCAAACTCCTTGCTGGGTTTCTGGAAGATACCACCATTTTTCCCCAATGCTGTTGAACTGCAACAGCAAAACAGAAACCAAAGTTCTTGGCCCTCATGTGTTCCACAACCCACTCTCACCTCTGTTTACCAATCCCAATGTGAGTCTGTGATGGTGGGGATGAGTTAGTCCCCTTTCCTCCAATCTCCGTAGCCCTGCTGGCTTTCTGCTCAATTTAGCACCTCTTTAACCCAGATTCTTCCAGGGTTGCGTCTTCATTCAAATGCTACTTCACAGAAAGAGATTTTGAGGGTTACATACATACGCTATTTTCTCACCTTATTACATAAGAAAAAAATCCAAACTTAGTAAGGAGAGAATTTATTCAGAAGTATTATTGCAATAGGGCCAGGGAGATTATTGCAATAAAGAGAACTCGTGATGATAAGACCTGCAAACAACTCATGGGATAGGCAAAAATAACTTTTCTTTTACAGAAAGGAGTAACAAGGCTAGAAAAAACTGGGTATAGGGAAGTGGGAAGAAAGGGTGACATGATCAGATGACCATGAGGCCATCCTATATCCCTGGAGTGGCCCTTAAGGAGCAACTACATGTTGGCTCAGTTGAGGTTGGACCAAAGGCCAGAGAGTTGGGAGAAGGAAAGAATCTTAACCAAAGTGTAGTTTACAAGTGTTTTGTTCCAATTGATCAGAGGGACAAACAGTTCAGCTAATAATTTATGAGACAAATAATGGGAATTTAGAGGATCTTTGTCTGCCTTTATCAATAGACCAATAAGGGAGATATCTATTTGTCTTTTATTTTTATTTCAAACAATTTATTGTGGACAATTTCAAAAATGTACAACACACAAAGATAGTGATATATCCATCACTCAGCTTCAATTATCAACCTTCACTAGTTTTGGTTTATATACGGTAGTACCCCCCCCTTATTGTCCTGTCTTGCTTTCTTTGGTTTTAGTTACCTGCTGTCAACCTGTCCAAAAATATTAAATGGAAAGTTCTGAAACAATTTATAAACTTTAAGTTGCATGCCATTCTGAATAGTGTGATGGAATCTCTTGCTGTCCTGCTCTGACGTGAACCATCCTTTTGTCCAGTGTATCTGCTTTGTACGCTCTCTGTCTGTGGTTTACTTTGCAGCCATCTGGATTACCAGATCAAAAAAAAAGTAGTACATTTGATACTCAAACACCATAGGTTTTAGCTGTGTGGGTCCACTTATATGCAAATTCAAAATACAGTATTCTCTGGATGAGTGAAACCCGCATATATGGAACCTGACTTTCCTCTAAGTGAGTTCAGCAGGGCAGACTATAGGACTTGAGTGTGCATGGGATTTTGGTGTATGCAGAGGTGCAATCTTCTATGTATAGAGGAATGATTGTATATATAGAGTTTAGTACTATCCATGGTTTTAGGCATCCACTGAGGTCTTGAAACTTATGCCTCCTAGATAGGGAGGAACTATTGTATCCTACTACTTGATATTGGGTTGGGGTTGGCTTCAAACAAGTTTTAGATTAGTATGTCATTTCACCTGCTAATATTACAATATATATCTATAAAGGATAACTTGTTCTGCATATTACACAGAACTAAATTAACAATAATTTCTTAATATCATTTAACTTGTTCACATTTCCCAAGTCTGAACATACTTTTACAGTTGATTTATTCAAGACAGTATCCAATGAAGGTTTATAAACCATATTTTTAAAGATCACATTTTTGAAACTTTAAAAAATAAGTTTTTATTTTAAAATATTGACATAAAAGTTTCTGTATGTATCATGTACAACCCGCTTCTGGTTGCCACCATTGTATTATCTACTTCTATGCGATCAACATTTTTAGATTTCACATATGAATGACCTGGCTTACTTCACTTAACATAATGTCCATTTCCATTCATGTCACACATGTCAGTATTTCATGCTTTTTAATGCCTTAATAATATTCCATTGCTATATATACCACATTTTCTTTATTCACTAGTTTACTGATGAACACTTGGGTTGATTTCACATCTTGACTATGGTAAATAGTACTGCAATAAACATGGGAGTACATATATCTCTTGGACACATAAACTTTGGGTATATCCCACTCAGCAGTGGGATTGCTGGGTTATATGGTCGTTTCACTTTTAATATTTTGAAGAACCTCTATACTGATTTCCATAAAGGCAGTACTAACTTACATTTCTACCAACAACCTCTAAGGGTTCCCCTTTTCCCACATCCTCACCAACATTTGTTATCTTTTGTCTTTTTGATAAATAGCAATTTTAGCAGGAGTGAAGCTATATTTAATTATGGTTTTGATTTGCATTTCCCTGGTGATTAATGATATGTATCATTTTTCATGTACCTGTTTGTTGATATTTACTCAGGGTAGCTGGCAAAATATTAAGGAGAATATTAGGGAAAATTAAAGATTATAGTCTCAAACCTTTTGGAAGACTGAACCTCATCCAGAGGTTTACTCAAACCTTTTTATTAGGGTAGGCCAAAGTCTGCCAGCTGGTCCATTAAGTTAGGGAGAAGATGGGGACAATTACAGGCTTTCCCAGTTTAAGTCTGTTTACCCCACATCCCTTTGTGTATACTCTGTTTACTTTTGTAAACTTTGCGCTGGATGGATCTCTCAGGTGGAGATCAAACGGAATTACCTGTTAATAGTGTTTACGCTGAACCTGGAACCTAAAGCTTTTATCATTCGTAAAAACACTCTTTTAATCATGTTAATTATCCACAGTGTGTTGACTTAGAACCTCTGTTTTAAAATTCATACTGAATAAATGTAATGATGGAGAGGGAGTCTTGGTCCATTTCACCCTCTGAAAGCAGCCAACATCCATTGCTAGTCCACTTGAACTACTGTAACGGTGTGAGAGTGCATTCATTCATCCATTGTTGAGTCAGGCTCTGCAGACCAGACCTCCACAGGTGGTGGTCAACGTCTCACCCGTTGGCCATTTGTATGTCTTTTTTTTTTTTTGAGAAATGTCTATTTGTTTTGCCCATTTATAAATCAAGTTATATGTTTTCTTGCTATTGAATTGAGTACCTTACATACTTTAGATATTAACCACTTATGAAATGTATAGTTTGCAAATGTTTGTTCCCATCCTGTATGTTGTCTCATCACTCTGCTGATTTTTTCCTTTGCTGTGCAAGTAGCATAAAAAGACATAGGGAAAAAGCTCCATGACATTGATCTGGGCAATGATATTTTTGGATATAACTCCAAAAGCCCAGACAATAAAGGTAAAAATAAATACGTGGAATTATGTTAAACCATGAATGTTAGCTTAGTCTCATGGAAAAGGGTGGTTCTTTGTAGTAAGCCATTTTCTGGAACACAAAGGGTGTGAGGATTTCTTATCCTTTGCTGTTTGACGGTATCACAGGGATAAGGTAACATTCACTACTGACACCTTCCATTCATCTTCCACCCACTCTGATCTGTGTTTTGCACTTAACCTCCTTTTTAAAATATATATGTGTATGTTGCCAGTGACCCTCTTCCTTGCCAAATTCAATAGACTTTTCTCAGTCCTGCTAGTCCCTAGGTCCCCGGAGCATTTGGGGCAACTTGCCATTTTCTCCTTTCTTAGACTAACTGCCCTTGGGCTCCATGAAGCCACAGTCTCCTGTTTTTTCTTTCTCCTCTGGCAGTGATGCTTCTTTCTTCTTTGTCTGTTTTTCTTTCACCCAATGCCTAATGTTGGGAGAGAGAAGCCCTATTTTGTAGGGTTCAGTCTGTAGGCCTCTTCCAAAGCTTCCTGCTTTCTTAAATTCATGTCATTCATTTCCATACATTTAAATATTATGTCTTTGTCTGTTGCCTTCCAATGTTTATCTCCATCCCACAGCTCTTTCCAGAACTCCTGACTCATGTATGTAACACTTGAAATCTGTATCTTATATATCTGTATCTTATATGTATATGTATATGTATATATATGTGTATATATATATTATTGCACTTTAGGTTCTGGGGTACATGTGCAGAACATGCAGGATTGTTGCATAGGTATATGCATGGCAATGTGGTTTGCTGCCTCCATCTCCCCTCTTACCTATATCTGGCATGTAAAAGGAATTTCAGACATAAACTATCCCAAATGAAGTTTTATTCCCTATGTGTGTCTCAAACTTCTCCCATCCACTTAGCAGCATAATCTACGGATCCATCCATCCTTTCCTTACTCATCTCTTTACAGCTATTGCCACCCCCTGTTCGTAGCCTTCAGAACATGTACTGATTATGTCCACTTTTCTCTATCTCCACTGTCACAGTCATAGCTCAAACCACCATTATCTATCACTTAAACTACTGCTGTTGCTTCTAATTGTCTTCTCTTATCCTGCCCTCTCTTTGACTCAGTCAGTTTACCATGTGATGGCCAGAATAACCTTTTATATCCCTCATTCAAAACATATTAGTGACGCCCTTAGGTTAGAAGCTATAATTTGCAGCAGAATTTTTTCAACCTCAGCACTATTGACATTTTGTTCTGGATAATTCCTGGTTATGGGGGACTGCTCTGTGCAAAGCAGAAAGTTTAGCAGCAGCCCTGGCCTCTATCCACAAGATGCCACTAGCATTCCTGGTTGCTATTATTATTATTATCATTATTACTGTGTGTGTGAATGCCTTGTTACTGCTTTTCACAACTTAATTATCTGTTAAAATTCCACTCAACATCCATCTTCATCATGCCAACTTCTTCATGAGTCTTTTCTGAGATTTTTCAACCCACCTTAAAACTCTCGGCAAATTAAATTGTTCCCTTCTCCATCCTTCAATAATCTTCCATCTACAGCATTTATGGGGTTGCATTCATCATAACGAGTTAAATAGATAAATATTATTCTTCCTTATTTCAATGTAATACTCAGCATAACATCTGAAACATTTGAAGCATAACAATTTTAATGAATTTAATTATTTTATCATGTTTCTACAAAACAATTGCATCTCTCTGTCAATCTTGCCATTATCTCTCCTTGCATACAGAGATGCACTTATATTCTGTTCCCTTTGGAGCCATTTTTCCCCCTGATGAGACTTTCCCTTAATCCACTTCTTCCCCACAAAGATATTTCAACAACCAGTTTTTCTACCTCCAATACCAGTCCTCTTAGTCACTTTTCTAGCTGCTCTGTAAAATAAAAAAAATCACCAAAAAACTAAGTGGCTCAAGGTCAGTTGGCTTGTCTGAGGCAAAGCTACTCAAACACATTCTGCAAACCTGCACTTCCTACACTGTCTTTCTAACAGATGGTCTATTGGAAAGGACAACTGAGACCAAAAATAGACCTGTAATGGCTTATTAAGATGCATTTAGGGAGAGAGAAAACACATTTCACAATGATATAAATACAGTACCTTGAAGTTGGGTAAAACTTTTTGAAAGCATTTTATCTATATGGCTGTCACATCAAATGTTCTTTGCGGCCAAGCTCCCCTTCTAATGCAGTGGAAATGTGCCTGTTGCTGTTATATTGTTACTGTGCTTTTGGGAGCATCTCTCCATTTTCCAAAATTCCTTTTCTTTAGCTATGCAGATACCAGACATATCACTCAGTGCTTTTATGTGGACTGTAGCTAAACAGGAGCAGATGCTCTAATTCCAAGTAAAACAAAATTCTCATAGGAGGCCTTGATATATGTTGGCTCAATGAGAGTGCACACAATTTGAAGAAATTAATAGATATATTTGAAGCCCCTTTTGTTTATGTTTCATCATATTTAAAAAATCAAGATCAGGCTTTAAATAGGTGGTTTAAAAATAGAATGAGAGTCTCTCAAGCCAGAATTTAGCAAAGGGAAAAATGTTAGGAGAGTGTGAAGACCCAAATACCTCATTAACACAGTTGAGGGGACCTTGATCTCCCTAGGAATAGTATATATGCTTTGAGACTGAAGGAGAGTAAGTAAGAAAGCAGAAAACCACCATTCACAATTCTGGCTCAAGTTTGGACCTAGATATTTAGATCTTATGAAATGTGAAAATGAAGATTCAAGCAGATACCAATCCCAGCCTCTGGATGAACTGCTGCTGTGGCATTTATGAACAAATATCTTTTGTGAACATTGTGGAGCCTGGAGCCAGAATTTGCATTTGTTAAATCATCATGCACAAATAAGAAATGCATATCGGAAGGCACTCCATTATTTTGATATAGTATCTGTACATATTTAGCTTCCTCTTTTTTTATCATAACTTCAAACGAAATACCATTACTTGCCAGTGGGTAGAGTTCACTATACATTTATCACTAGTGTTGTTACTCTAGATATCTGCATGTGTAATTAAAGAGAGGAAAAAAGATAGATTGTAGTTCTTCATATATGAAAAAGATGGAATGAGAATAATTATTTTTGGAATTAATGAGATGATGTTTGCTAATGGTTTGGAAAATAAAATAGGATTAGATATGAAAATAAGATACAGAGTATTCTAGTCTTGGCCTGTTAAGTTATTATGGGGAAATATTTGCCAAACTAGGAATTTTATCAGTTTCTGTACTCAGAGCATATATAAAGTTAACTCATGAGACAGCAAAAAGTTTAATTTCATGTACATATCTACCTACTTACACACAGACACACACACAGACTCTCTCTCTCTCTCTCTCTCACACACACACACACCTCTCTCTCTCTCTCACACACACAGACACACACACACACACACACACACACACACACACACACACAGTTTCAATAAATACTGCAGACTGCCAGAGTTCAGGATTTATAGACCATTAAAAAAAGACACAGAAAAATAAAAGGGCTTTTTTTTTTTTTAGGTCGTAAAACATCTCCATTGATCTCTAATCTTTTCATTCCTCCTACCACTAGAGTTCTGCTCACCCTTTTAGACTTGTGATGACTGAAAAAAATCTGGGTAAAGAGGAGAGAAAAGGAAAGATAGCTCAAGAGGTCCTGGAATACAGACTGAAGTCTCTACGTTGCCAAAGGCCAAAGTCAATTCTATTGGGATCTTCTAGTTAAATGACCTCTGCAGTGGTAAGATGCTCAGAAGTCTCTCCGAGCAGAGTCTAGGGTTAGAGGTAGACAAAGCTAATCCAGAACTGAGGATTCAATTCTGTGCTAGACACTGAAGGGCCATAAATCATCTCTGCCCTATCTCCTAGGAAAGATACTGAGGATGAGCAAAGCCACCATTTTGGATAGCTGCTTTATTCTGTACATGTCTTTGACTGCCCCAAGGGTGAGGCTCCTTCTCAAAGTGAGCCCTTTATTGTCCTCCTTCTCTCCCAAGTACTCAGAGAGTATCCAGGTACCCAGTTTTAGCATGTTTATTCATGAAGCTCACTTTCATTTGACTCCCTGGATTGTGTCACCTCCTGTCATCACTCAGAGTATTCAGCTGCATAATAGAAGTTCCAGCAAACACTTTTTATGTGGCAAGATTTTCTTGTCTATTCTATCACCCTTTCTATTTTGACTCTCTCACCTTTTCTCCCTACTTACCTACCTTATAGATTCCTTGTAATCTCAATTGTAAAGAACTTGGTGTTAGTTGGAAAAGATATTTGGGCTAATAGGAATAGCAGGAATTATAATTTGGAGAAATTCTAATTTTGTAAGATAATAGTCTTCATTGATTCCTTAAAGATTGACAATTTATTCATTTCTCTAAAGCATGGCTTTCAGCTGGAAAGGTGCATTAGGCTTCCCCAGAGTGCTTTTAAAATCCACAATTTCCTAGTGGTCACCCAAATCTACTACTGGGCTTTGAGGAGTAAAAGCCCAGTGGTTTTTTTCCCCTCGGAAAAATATGTAGAACTAGTTTAGGTCATCTGAATTTCACTCCAAGACCAAACAAATTTAAAATCTAGGGACTTAAACTGTGTTCTTTAGTTTCCCCTAGAATTGTATTCATGAATTTTTTTTAGCCTTATGTGCTCAGGTTATGAAAATTGCTAATTTCCATTAAGTTTGATATTAAGGATATTGTTATGAATTCACAAATTGTCTCATATCATAATCCTGGGTAAAAATTTCTCTGAGACGTAAATGCTACAGTTGAGGTAGGGGTTAGTAGAGGAGGCAGAGACAACTATTTTTCCTGAGCACCTTTTACTTTTTGGATTTTAAGTTTTGTAACTTTCAGTTTTCTTGCTTTTCTTTGTAGTCTACTATAAAGCTCTTAATTCAAGTTCAAGCTCAAAGTAACCCAGTTTTAACAATTGTATACATACTTTTGGTGTACATTACTGTGTATGTCCTTGGCTTCTTTTTATTTGCCAAATTGTATTTTCCTTTGGCCTTCTTTTCTCCTTCCTTCCTTCCTTCCTTCCTTCCTTCCTTCCTTCCTTCCTTCCTTCCTTCCTTCCTTCCTTCCTTCCTGTTTCCTTCCTTCCTCCTTCCCTCCCTCCCTCCCTCCCTTTCTTCCTTTCTCTCTCTCTCTCTTTCTTTCTTTCTTTTACACAGTTTCACTTTTGTTACCCTGACTGGAGTGCAATGGTGTGATCTCAGCTCACTGCAATCTCTACCTCCTGGGTTTCAGTGATTCTCCTGCCTCATCCTCCCAAGTAGTCGGGATTACAGACATGTTTCACCACTCCTGGCTTTTTTTTTTTTTTTTGGAAATGCAATCTCACTCTGTTGCCCAGGCTGGAGTGCAGTGGCAAGATCTTGGCTTACTGCTACCTCTGCCACCTGGGTTCAAGCGATTCTCCTGCCTCAGCCTCCCAAGTAGCTGGGATTATAGGCACCTGCCACTGCACCCAGCTAATTTTCGTAGTTTTTAGTAGAGAAGGGGTTTTACCATTTGGCCAGGCTGGTCTCGAACTCTTGACCTCAGGATCTGCCTGCTTCGGCCTCCCAAAGTGCTGGGATTACAGACATGAGCCCCCATGCCTGGTCTGGGCTTTGGTTCTTAATAGGCTTCAGTATTTTGGATTTATTATTGGAAACCGCCAATTCAAATTTTGTCAGAATTAAAAATAACAAAACTTGAGAGCATATACATAGTAACACTGCATTTTTCCCTTTTATGAAGTTTATTATTAAACTTGGGAACAAATATTCTAGACTTTAAAGTTTGTAAAGTATAATGGATGACAGATGAAGAAACTGAAATTAGAAAGGTTATCTTCATACAGCCTTTCATTAATGGATATGATAAATTGTTAACGCTATCTTTTGAATACAGTTATTTCATTTCTATACTATGGTGACTTTTTCTAGATCATTTTTTCACTAATATTATCTGGTTTGCTTTACATAACTGTTTTTTATTGTAATTAGCATTACAATTATTATCTTCATTTTAAAATTGTCTTTGTCAAAAGATGTTATAATGTCCTCAGAAATATTATTCTACCATATTGGGAGCTTTTTGAAATCTTCTCACTAGTGTTACAGCTAATAATTTAAGATCAACTATGTCTACAAAATTCATTTAATAATATTTAAGTAAGATGCATGTAAGTTTAATGGCAGTGTGGTAGAGAGTAAGGTAAAAATATAGAAAGAATTATGTAAGCCCTAACATCCAGGCATTTATAATTCCATTGGAGAGAAATATATAAACATTTTTAAGGAAAATTAAACAAAATAAAATAAATAGTATGCTGAATTATTAGTTTAAAACTAGCTGACCGGTCACCGTGGCTCACACCTGTAATCCTAGCCGTTTGGGAGGCCAAGGCAAGCCAATTGCCTGAGCTCAGGAGTCTGAGACCAGCCTGGCCAGCACAGTAAACCCCATCTCTACTAAAATACAAAAAAAAAAAAAAAAAATAGCCAAGTATGATGTCACTTGCCTATATTCCCAGCTACTCAGGAGGTTGAAACACAAGAATCGCTTGAGCCTGGGAGGCGGAAGTTTCAGTGAGCTAAGATAATGCCACTGCACTCCAGCTTGGGCTACAGAGTGAGACTCCACACACACACACACACACACACACACACACAGTTATTAGTTCAAAACTAGCAATGATAGAGAAGTTAAAACAATGTTATTTTATTCTTTACCTAGCAAATTGATAAAGATAACACACACATTGTATTCAAAGTTATCAAGGAAATGATAACCTGAATATATCTGAATTTACTTCTGGACAATATTTTTTAACAAATCTTCTGAAAGAGAGCTTGTCAATAGATATTAGAAATCTAAGATAGGTTTTTATCTTTAGAGCCAATAATTCTAATCCTGTGACTTTAACCTGAATAAATAGAAGACATAATAAAAATATATTTATGAGAATATTTAAGGCTAGAATATTCCTAACACTTTACACATAAAATCATAGAAGGTGAGAGAAATAAATCAAATGGTTTTCAATGTTTGTCACTGAATTCAAAAATGTTTATGCTTCTTAAAAGATTCCAATTTTTTATAAAACTGAGTATTACTTTTATAACCAGAAAAAAATTCCAATAAATATAATTTTTTAAAGTTTTACTGGAAAAACTAGTTCATCTGTGTAAACCCAGTTATCCAGATGTTTGGAAATATCCAGTTAGTAATATCCCATTTTAATTCTAGTTTATTGCAGAAGAAAGAGTGAGAAGAAAAAATAAAGTTTGGATCCACAAAACTCCAGTGCAGGATCAGTAGCTATGCAAATGAGCTATTTCAGGGAGAAAGCTTAGTAAGGGCATTAATGTGCACCAGCTTCTCTGAGATGGAGTGAACTCTGATCTGCTCCTTTCCCAGAGTCACAGGAGCTGACACAGACTACGTGGGGAAGAAGGACACTATATTCTGAGTGCAGCTGTCAGGCCACAGCTGCTCCTGCCATCTGCTCTGCCTTTGATTTATATTGTTTGTCATCTCCCTTGTGCCTTTTTTGTGCGCTGCTGTCCAGTGCTCATTTTTAGGTGACTTCTCAGAGACAAAGGGATTGCTAGTCATAACAGCATGATTTCAATTGTATTTTACCTGGAGGGCTTTGGTTTCAGAAAAAGAAATCCAAGCAATACATCAGCAACCCATAGGGAGCATTGAAAGTCCAATTCAAGAAGTTAATCAAGTTTTTGTGATCCTTTTGCTCTGATGTCCTATTTAAGTAACTTGAGGATGCTAGTGGAGGTATATTTGGCTTGAACATAGACTGAAGGACAGGCATGATTTAGTTGGTAAACAGAAGTCAAGTGACAGCTAGGAATTGGCTAACTTCTATCAAATCAGTCAACTATATCTTTTGTGCCTTAATTACTCTCAGCATAATTATTTATTTGATTGAAGGTTTTTGTCTTTTTTAGAACAAAAAGAAAGTTGTAAATAAAATAGGAACCACATTTATTCATTTGTTTGTTCAAACACCTGGACATTTCCTTTGATCCTGGCTCAGGATTGCATTGGAGGAACAAAGATGAGCAAGGGGCATTCCTTCCTTGAAGATGTGAACAGAGTCCAGCACAAATTTGTTCCTTTTCTGGGCTAAAAACACCATGAAAAGGTTCAGCAACTGTCTCACTGAGGCAGTGGCCGCAAAGGGTGAACAGAAGAAAAGCGCCAAGGAATCTGCATAGGAAGAGGGAGAGTAAATGAAAGGGAAAGTTGAACTTAGAAGAGAATCATCGAATCTTAGAACAGAAACCCTTATGGATTAGGACAGCATTTGCAACTAAAAAGGTAAATCAATTGGCAGTCTTCTTCCAAGTCATCCAAAAGGTGGTTTATTTTTCACTTCCTGGACATTGCATGTGGAAGATAACTTGAGACAGCCCTGTAACAGCCCATCACAGGAATTTTCCGTTACAGAAGAATAATGTCTCATTCTCCCTCTGACAAAACTTTCTTTTCCATGCCCAACCCAGCTTCTGCTACGAAAGACTGCTATGATGTCTGCTATGCAAGACCCACTTCTTACTATGCAAGACCAGTTCCTCCTCTATAGTAATGGCAACATCTGCAAACAACATTTGCAAACATTCAGTGTGCATTGTGCCAAGCCCTTTGCATTTTTGAAAAAATTATTTAATCCTTACAGCAAGCCTGAGTGGCTAAAGGTTTATTATCTCCATTTCATAGATGAGGCCATTCAGACTCAGAGAATTAAGAAAACTGTGAAATACTACTCGGCAAAGGAGTAAAGGGCATTTTTGGTCCAGATTGGTCTGACTCAAGAGCATGGTTTAAAGAACAGATTATTTTAAGTGTATGAAGAATAACTCTGCTTATCATTGATACCACTCACAGAATATTCCTAGGTCTTTCTCCTTCTAATAAACTGCTAGGATTGTATTTCCTGGCTCCCTTGTGATATAGCAAAGCCACACAAGTAGCTTAGCTCATGAGTTGGGATTGGGGGATACTTGTTGCTATGAGATATTTTCCAGAATTTTTTTCCTCTTGGATAAAAACTGACAATGTTCAAGATGATGGCTATTCACTTAGCCTGGGTCTCAGGGCGACTGTGAAGAAAAGAGTCCCAAATGACATGTAATGGTCATATAGCATAAACAAGAAACAAACACTTTCAGTTTTAATCTATTGAAATCTCATGAGTTGTTGCGACAGCATAAATTTGCACATCCTGGGCAGCAAATTTCTAATCTGTTATTGCTCCAGACAGGAACATGCTCTGTGCAAGTGGGATTCTTTCTTATCTGTTCTCTTGGGCACTGGATTCATGACTGAAATTAGCAACCAGGTTCATTCAGGGTTTCCTCTTTTAAGATTTTATTAAGCCCATAAATAGATAATTTAAAAATGGCCATGTTCTCATCATGAAATAAACTTTATACATTTATTGAATAGTTAAGGTATACATTTATTGCAAGTACTCACTGGGAAACCCAGTGGTTATTATAAAGAATGTCTCTTTAAAGGGATTGGAGCAGAGGTAAGATAACTCAATTTCTGTGTGTGCTTTGAGACCAAAAAAAAAAAAAAAAAAAATCACCACTGGGATATGGGATTTTCTCTGGGACTCTTTCTAGGAACACTGTTGTTAAATGCCAATGATTAAGAATATTCCTAACTTCATTCCCCAAACCCGGATAGACTCAGAACCATCTAAGGAGCTTTTATTGATTCAGGTATTTAAATTCAGGCCCTAGATACTCTAAGTCAGAATGTGAGTGAGGAGCCCAGAGAATCTGTACTTTAACAAATGAAAGCTTTTCAAACTCCCCGAGTTTGGGAGCTTCGGCTCTGGAAATCCCCCTTCCATACTGCTGACAGAGGCAAGCTTGGGTGTTTGAAAACCTTCTTCCCTTCTTAAATCTTCCCCAAAGCACACACACCTTGAGGTCCTTGGTTGAATTCTGTTTGGCAGAGCCAGGGTTTTTTCTTGCAGTTTTCACAACAGGAATGTTTTGGGGTCCCAGAAAAGCAAGGCAGAGGGAGCTGCACAGGAAATAAAGAACAGTAAGTACTGGCAGTTCTACTTATCTGTTGCATCATAGAGAAAGGCACTGAGTAAAGATGGCTAGGATTCTTTGCAGAGCCTTTATCTTCACAGTCAGAAACATACAAACAGCATATGCATACTAAGCAGGAATTTGAATCAAATGACCAGTTTGATTTATTGTTTTGGAGAAAAGAAGTATCTATTTCATTTATTCATGTTTTTTTTTCCTTTTACACTAAGAAAAACCAGACCTGGAGTCTGTAAGAACACCCGAAGGCAGAACTTCACTGGTAGGACTCATGCCTCGGTCTGAGCGATCTGCCACTGTCCACCTAAGTGACCAGAGATGTGCAGTAGCCCCCTAAGCAGCTGCCAGATTCCATGCTGAATGGAACCTTGAAGCTAGGAATCAAAGGACCAAGTGATGGTAAAGATATTTAGGCAGTGAAAAGAAGGAGGAGCCTGTATCTGTGTATCCTTAATTTTTACAAAACTAAGAAAACAGGCAATTATAAAAATGCTCACAGAACACAAAGATATGTGTAGAATACTGAAGAGTGGGACAAAAGAGAGATGTACGTAAGAGAAAAGCAAGCAATAATTTCTAGAAGTTCAGGTCTATTCTGTTGTACAAGTTAAACCTCTCCGGCTCTATCCTCTGTTCCTTTTTTCCTCTTTTTTTTTTTTTTTTTTGACCATTCTCCATTAGGTCCATGTTCTTTACTATACAGAACAATTTACCTATTGTGTTTGTGGCCTTAGAGTCTAAAGAACAAATCCTGAGGATCTCATTCTCTATTCCCAAGAGGATGATCAAAGTATATTTCTAAAAAGATATAATTCTTTTCTTAACAGCCGAAACTAGCTGTTAAGAATATATACATATACACTCACACAAAGGTATACATATTTCTCTAAATATAGAGGTTGTATTTTATACTTACATGTATATATATTTCTGTGCAAAATTACAAAACATACAATTGTGAAGAAAATTGGAAGCTATGTTTTGTCAACATAAATTTTAGGAAGAAAACATGGTCACTGTTCAGACTGGAGGATAGCATATCCCTAAAAGGCAGAAGAACGGAATGATACAATGAAAAGAAACAAATCAAAGCATAACATGACAATGATATTAACTTGCATCTCTGCATAATTAATAGCATGCCATCAATGTTAAGGAAACAATATAAAGCCTAAGATGCGTATAATTTCTTATCTAATACCTGACTCTTCTATAGCAGGCTCTTCTCACCCTAATCTTACCTACAAACCCAGATCTAAAAGCTGGACTTGATGGATTTCTTTGACACTGTGTTTTTTCAGTTACAGTGCTCCTTTTTCAGCTCATGTTTTACATCGCTAGGCTTGGCTGCAAAGCATACTTGTAACAAGAGGAGGAAGCTTGGATGCCAAGCAGTCTGAGCCAGGCATAGGATTAATCAGAAAGTGCCGGAACTGCCCTGATCTGGGCAGATGAGCATATCCGGAGAGGTCTAAGCAGCAGTGGGGACTTGGCCACAGTGATACTAAATGAATGACAGAACAAGGCTTCAGGCAGATGGCAGTGTAGTTCTCGTCAGAAAAGGAGAAAACTAGTGAATTCCCATGGTAAGTAGGATTCTCTTTTCCCCTGACCCTCTGAAAGAGGAGCCTGGAAAAAGCTAGACAAGATTAAGTCCCATTAAGATTATAAGAATTAAGCAATATAATAAGAGTGCTGCATGCAGTGCCTAGTGTTTTCTAACAAACAGAAAATGATCTAAAAGTAAGAAGTAAGGCAAGGCCATCAATGTGCTCAATAAGTCATAGGACACTAGCTTAGTGCTCCTTTGCAAGGGTTGAGGTACAATGTCTCCATCGCCTATTTCAGGTTCAAAATGCACACTTGCAATCTTTCCTGGCCAGCCTTTATTTTTCTTCTTGATGTCTCCAATGGCCTTCCCATATTAAATTTGTTTGCTCTCTATTTTATTTGATGCTTTCTCATTTCATAGTTTAAACCCTGCAGCTCCTTAGAATACATGGGGCTTGATGTCCTGTTGTCTTCCACGTTGAAAATTCTCCAGAATGCACACTACTCCACAGGTGGCTGTCTCTGCAGTCAGCTATTTTATTTTTACAGCTTTCTTCCCTCAAGCATTTCTTTGTTTCAGAGGAACTAGGTTTTTAAAATGGATCTGTGCCCAGAGAGTTTACATATCTTCATAAAAAGTATCATGTACTAAATAATGAGTGTGTGAATGCCAAATACTGTAGATAAATTACATAGCAACCTGCTCTCTAATGAATCAGAGTGTTTTTATTCCATTTAAATGCATTAAGACTCCAATTTCTTGGTCTTTTAAGGATAAGTGAAATTCCAACCATTTATTCTTATTATTTAAATCTAACGCTTGACATGCACTTGTTAAAAGTTATGTACATGTTTTTGGTCACTTTTAAAAAGATAATCATCCATCACTTAGCCTATTTAACATGAAAAATAATGACTGAAATGTATGATTTTGAAAATAGAATTTTGGTGTGAGGATATATTAAATGTGAACAGAATTATGTACTAAGTTTCTGGTGAGCTAAAATATTCCAATTTTTTTTCTTGGATATCACTCAACCTCATCATTTTAGTTTTATAATTCAATAAAAGTAGGAATATATTAATAAAGTCTCTTAATGCCAAAAGAAATGGAGTTGTATTGGAGCCATTAAAAGAGAAATTGGTAAGAAATTACTGAGTATGAAAGTATTATAGGTATATTCTTTGAGTTTGATTCAAAATTGTTCTCCTCAGTGACTGTTAATAGTATCTCATAATTTGGTCAATATTTCTCTTGTCCCAAAGAGAGAGCAGATAACCGCTTCTTCTCTGACCTGTATATATTCCTAGCCCTCCCTTAAATTGAGAACATTTCCAAAGTTATACTTACCTGGAAATTAAAGACCACTTTCTACCCATAAGGATATTAAAAATGGCATTTTATAGTTATTTTAAGGATAGCATCATCAAATGTTTAAATAAAAGGATAAACCTTCATCTTCCGATCTGTTAAAACCAATGATACTGGCATAAACAACATGGCCCTTTCATCTGCTATGACTGATTTCTACTGTGGTGGGACTAGGTTAATTTATACTGAGCTCAATTATATTCTCTATGCTGCAAGTTCCAGTCATGACTCTTATAAGCTACTTGTCTTATTTGCTAGGCAATCTTCATAAGGCTGGTTGCCGGTGTGTACTTTAACTTCTGTGTGTTCCTTTCCTTTTCTCACCCATATAAAACCATCATTCTTTGTAAGCATGAAATCGTGCTAGGAGTTTAATGAATATAAAATACAATAAAGCACATATAGCAAATATTAAAGCGTCCGGAGGGTAAATGAACATTGACAATGTTCATATAACCTCAGGCTATTTGCCTTATTTTTTAATGTTTAATTCATCTACTACCTACCTTCCTAAGATTTGGAAAATACAACTTTTTGGAATGGACTTCTTTGTCTGAGCCCACATAGTTCCTGAATTCCCAGAGCTATTCCCATTGTAATGGTTTGAGAGTCTTTCAATGTCCTGGTTATGTACTTCTCAGTGTTCATTCTTCTTTAGTGTTAGCTGAGAGACAGATGTGAACAAACTCATTCAGAATTACATCAGCAGAGCATTCTTGTCTGCGGCTAAAACTTAGGATCTTTTTCACCAATCTGTTTCTCCTCCAGGGTGCTTTCTATTTATAAATATCTCAAAAGGTTGTCCTCTACCCACTTGTACTAAAGAGTACTTGTACTAGAGGGTACTTGTACTAGTACCCTCCAGGGGTACTTCTAGAAAAAATTCAAATTCCAAGACTCTTCCCTATAAATCTACTAAGGCAGAATTTTAGAGTGTGGACTCGGGAACTGAAATAGTTAAACACTCTCCAGGTGATTCCTATACACATTAGACTGTGTGGACTGCCACAATAAATGGCGCCATTAACCGCTCAATTGTTCATGCCAAACCTTGGCAGTCAATCCCGACGACTTTATGTCTTTCACCCTCCCCACATTTAATCAATAACCTAATCTACAAATTTACCTCTTAGGGATATCATGATTATAAGAGATACAGTCTGAGAGAGTGATTTATAATCTGATTAGGTGGGACACTGAAGCATTAAATTAATTAATTCCTATGTGCAATTTACACTCTTCCCACAAAACTTAAAGATAAATACTCCTTAGGGAATAAGATGCTTCGTGGTTAAACAAGATGCTAAATCAAAGTGTGAGAGGTCTAGTCTATTTGATTTCCTCATTGCTTTCTGGTTCTAGCTCCTGTTGCCTATCATTTCCTTCTTATCTTCCAAATCTTAAAGCAGACACTGTAACTTTCCTTAATTCTTGTTTTACATCAAAAGACACTATGTGTTTACTCTACTGCATTAGAGATCACAATGTTAAATAATGTATTCTGCTTTCAGGTATAGAAACTAATATTTTAGAAGCTTAAAATAACCCAGAACATTTTATTTTTCTTGTAAAGTAAGAGACTAGAATCTCCAGGCTGATTTTTCTTGTAATTGTGTCTTACGTTAGTGTTTGCTTGAATTGCTTTCTGACAGAATCCCTTCATAATGACCGTTATTATAGCTAATGCTTCTGAATACATTACTTGGTTTCTCTACTATTTGTTTTGCTACTTCAACCTTTATTTGATACCACGATTTTGCTTTCTTATAAATGTTCAACATTGATTTGTAGATTCTGAAAATCAACTTATTTTCTTCTGATTATAATAAAAAATAACTAATAGATATGGGTTGAAACAAAGGTAATTATAAAGACAAAAAGAAAATCAACTATAGTTCTATAAAATATATAATTCTGTGTACAATCAGGCTTAAGGAGGATTCTATGGAACTCTAAACATTTAGAAGTTGCAATAAACATTTATTAAACATGTACTCAGTGCCAGGGATGTGCTGAAAACTGAGTAAATAGAAGTGAATAATTTC